CTTCGCTGTCGGTTATAGGATGATGCAGGCCTCTTTTGCATACGGGCTGTGACAAGTTGAGGCTTGTTCATTTGACACAGTCCTGTGGTCACAGCTAATCGGTCCAAAGCTCCCACCCATGGCGTTGGGGCTTGTATGGATCCTCTGAACCCAGAGTGGAACTTCCTGAAAGTATTAGGAGCAAAAAAACGTCCCTGGAAGCAGCAGGAGACACAGAATCCCGGGCTGGCCGGAGCCTCGTGGCCTGGTCTCCACTGTCTGAGAGGAGTTCCATCTTGAAGGTGAGCAGTGCCTGGCGGTCTGAGCCCCTGGCGAGAGGGCCCAGCTAGAATCCCACGCCCTGGACTGGGGGGTGGAAGGGCTAGGTGGGTCCAGTGCCCATCCTGAGGCTGTGCCCACCGACCCCAGAGGCCATTTGCTATGTGGTGACCTTGTTGCTTTGCCCGGTTAAGGGTGACTTTGCTGTTGTTATTGTTGCTCTACCTACTTCGAGTGCAGAATTTTGCATGCAGCAGGCTTCTCTTGAAAAGTAGAAGAAATCAGTTTCTTTTTCTCATTGATTGCCCTCCCTCGCCCCTCCCCCTCCCCCGCTCCTCCATGCTGTGTGGTGTGCTCATCTGCTCCTGCCCGGAGCTTTTCTGGGCTGGGAAGAGGGAGCTTTTTCCTTGGTTCTGGAATATCTGACCCCCCCCAACCCCCCGCCCCCCCTGATGGTTTGTGTGGTCGCTGGTCAGTATCTCCGTCCACATCCAGCCAGTCCCTTGTGCTTCTAGCTTTTATTCTCCTGAATGGCACGAGGACCGGCTAGCTGGACTCGGGAGCCTGTGTCACCATGGCCAGGGCATGGTGCTCGGACGGCTCAGCTAAGGGGTCTCCTGGGGGATAAGACACCTTCCTTTCTTCCTCCTTGTATGAGTGACCCTGAATTTGGTCAGACCAAAGGCAGATCAACCCTTTCCTGGGGAAGTGAGGACCTTGGATAGTTGCCAGGTCCGGTCCCTTGTCTCATTCCCTGGCCTGTTCCCTTCACAGGGTGTGTTTTTCATGTCAGACACCCTCCTGGACACTCGGCTTTTTATTATGTATTTCCTTTCATAGTTGGGTGTAGACATAGCACTCTCCCTAATCTCCCCCCGCCCCCCACTCGCTTCCCGTGCTGGTTTGTGATCTCTTTAAGAGATCAAGACCCCCATCTTTATATACTCAGTGTCTGCAGGGCACCCTGACCCAAGATGGGAACAGAGCAATACTCTAGAATAATTCTGACTGTTTTTTGTTGTTGTTATTAATTCTCACTCGAGGATATTTTCCCATTAATTTTTATAGAGAGTGGAAGGGAGGGGGAGAGATAGATAAACATTGGTGTGAGAGAGACACATCGATTGGTTACCTCCCGCACCCGCCCGGACCGGGGCCAGGGATCGAGCCTGCGACCAAGGTACATGCCCTTGATCAGAATCGAACCCGTGACCCTTCAGTCCGCAGGCTGACTCTCTATCCACTGAGCCAAACCAGCTAAGCCTAGAATAATTCTGACTATTGATGAGCCGCATTGATGGTCACTTCTCCACCTTCCCTTGAAACCTTTAGAAATTCGAGAAAACTGCTAAAATGTGTTCTCTTTGGTACCTCCTCGGCCTCTTCTGTTTTTCTGGCCCCAAGTAACTAGTAACAGTATAGTAATTAATAACAACAATAATAGTAGCTCCCATAACATTAAAATTGTATATCGTGCCAAGAACGTTCTTTGCAGTTTCTGTTCCCTGCGACCCCACGAGGCAGATATAATCAAATGTCTAGTAATGATGGATTTCTTATTGCGGGCCGACCTCAGTCCCAAATGCTTTAGATGTATTATCTCATTTAATCTCCCAACAATCATGTAAGATGGGATTATTATTATTGCTGTTTTACAGATGAGGAAGCCACAGCTCAGAGAGGTTAAGAATATTCACCCAGGTCACACAGCTAGGTGGTGGCTATGTGACCAGCGTGTCATTACTGTGACCCTTCGCAGTGGATGGGAGCTATGGGAGCTAGAGCTCTTTTTGCAAGTGATAAGGTCGCCTCCCCCCTCCCCCACCTGTTCTGAGAACCTGCCTCTATCCTGGCTGTGTTTAGGTGCAGTAGTGACCCTAAGAACACAAAGATTGTGGTGGCCCCTCTCTCAACCTTATCATGAAACCAAAAAACAGCTCTGACTGGGGTAGCTCAGTTGGTTGGAGCATTGTCCCGTGCACCGAAAGGTTGCAGGTTTGATTCTCGGTGAGAGCACATGCCCAGATTGTGGGCTAGAGCCTCAGTTGGGGTGTTTGCAGGAGGCAGCCAATTGATGTTTCTCTCTCTCTCTCTCTCCCTCTCCCTCTCCCTTCCACTCTCTCTAAAATCAATTAAAAAACAAACAAAACAAAACAAAAAATAAAATCAATTTAAAAACAACAGCAATGCTAGGTCATAAAAAACAGTGGTCTCAGTCATTTTTTATTTTTTAATATATACATATTTTTTATTGTTGCTAGTATTACAGATCTCTCCCATATCCCCCCCTCCCTTCTTCCCAGCCCATACCCACACCCCCAGGTCTTCACCACCCTATTGCCCTTGCTCAGTCATTTATTAATTGCAGAATTCTGAATGGGCTTTCTTTTATTTTCTCTTCCTCGTTTTTTTTGGGGGGGCGGGTGGTGGTGGTGGTGGTTATGGGGTATTGTTTGGCTGGTACCTGGTGGGTTATCTGAGCTGCAGTATTATTTGGATACCTGCCTCTTTTCCCTCCTTGACCATGAACTTGAGTGCAGCAGCCAGCTGGCTGTGGGGGTAGTCATCTTCACAGGTCTGGTGGCTCACCCAGCCCTGGGAACTTGGCTGAATTGTGTGGCTGTGAGAATTGCTTTGTTTTCAAGGAAACAAGTGGTGCTCAGCCTACAGTCCTTGTTGTGTTAGGTGAGAAACAGCCTGACAGGCTGGGACGTGGAGGGGTTGTCCCCAGGACAAGGACACTGAAGAGGGAGGAAGACAGTGGCAGAAGGCATCTGGGAAAATTGAAGGGCAGTGTGGATCTGGGTCACTTTGGGGCAGGTTGCTTCGCCTCTCTAAGCCTCGGTTTCCTCGTCTCTAAAGTGGGGAGGATAAAGCGCCAACTTCACAGGTTGCTGTGAGGAGGAAATAGCGAAATAGCGGAAGAGCAGCAGGCCATTAGCAGAGGGCCTGAGCTCCCAGTGCGCACTCAGTACGGTAGCTAATATTATTAGTTCTAATGATCGGGGTTTGCAACTTCCTGTGGCTGCTTGGAGTGGTGGTTTCTGAATGCATTTTCACGTGTAAAGGTGTAACATTCTGGTTACAGAGACTCTAAGTGGCAGCACCCTCACTAGAGCTCTTTGCAGGCAGCTGAAAGGAATGCTAGCCAGTTAAGAAAGAGGAAGCCAGGAGAGCTGCAGGAGCAGGGCTCAGAGGGGCAGGCATCAGAGGGCACCCGGGGGTGGCCCTGCCTTTGCACTTGGCTCTCTGTGCATCCATTTCCTCAGCTGCTGCCCTGGGAGGACACTCTCCCTCCCAGGGATGGGGCAAAAGCACTTAGCACAGAGGAAGTCAGCTCTTGAGTAAGACAGCAAAGCAATTGTTATTACTTATTCTTCTCCGGGACTCCCTTTTCCTGGTAAGTGAGCCCCAACCGACATTGGCTATTCTGTTTAAGATCGATTCATTGATGGGCTCACTCATTTGCTAAGCGTTTGCTAAGCCGTTACCAGGCGTCCTAGACGCTGGAGATGCCAAAGAGGCGGCATCCCTGGCATCTAGTTGGTCCAAGCCCCCGGTGTGGGGACAGGGTGGTCCCCAGGAGGAGCAGGGGCTTGATGGAGGCAGCGCAGACAAAAACCACATGGGCTCCAGTGCCCGGGGGTGGGGGGTGCTGGCACCCCTGTGTTAGTGGATGGAGGATGCTTCGCGCAGGGCCTGGCACGTGGTAATGACTATATACGCGGTCATTGCTATATTTGTTGTTATTATGGTTATGATTTTTCCCTTGGCGG